GGGCACGAGCCGAGCTCGCCCAAAAGGCAACGAGTCGAGCTTGAGCTCGGCTCGTTGCCAGCGAGCCACGAGCTCGGCTCGTGCGACAATGGGCCGAGCCGGCTCGGCTCGGCCCATTGACACCACTATCTGCCACCATCGGCCACCTCCACCTCCACCTCCAACTCCAAATCTCTTCCTTTTACTTGATTCAACTCCAAATGGTGGTTTTTACATAAATAAAATGAAATACACACTAATATGAGTACATATATACTCAAATAATTAATATTAAATAAATTTAAAAACCTAAATAACTAGGTAAAACACAAATATTCCAAAACTTATACTTTTGCTAATACCGACCACAACTATATATTCAATTACTATGACATAAAAGAAAATAAAGACAGTAGTCCTCATATAGCTTGTCGTATTTGCCTTCGGTTGTCTCACTTCATTTTAATATATAGTTATTTTTCCATTTTCCTTTTTGATTTCCCTAGTCGAACTTATTTTAAATAAAAATTAATTATTTGTTTAAGAAATTAGTCTATATGTAGAACCAATGATTTATATGGTAATTAACTGGAAATTTGTGAGGTACCCAACTAAATTAACTGTCATCGTATGAAAATGGTGTAACCAGAACTTCTCACAATCAATGATTTGAAAACAACGTTAGTTATTCGACATAAAATTTGACATTGCATGAACACGATGATCTTTTAGATCTAGAGAATGTTTGGTGGAGATTAAAATTAGATTTTTAGTAGATTGTGATAGAAGTTTTTGAAATATGTGGTTGAAAAGTGGTGGAACCCACGAAAGATGTGATTAATAACATTCTACGATTCTTTTGTGAGTAAATAGCTAGGTTAGTGACAGGAAATAAGTGATAGGTGCTACGTGTCAGCACCTTTTTGGTTTTTTTTTTTAAACTGTTCAATCAAACTCTGACACGTGTCCACTGTTTTTAAATCTTGTCACAGACCCTGTTAGTGTAGCATTGCTCATTTTTTTTTTGTACACGTTTTTATCAATTCTCTTTTCTTCCACTGCCACACATCTCTCCCTATATAAAGTTATATGTCTGGATAAGATATAATACTATTAAGCAAAAGAAATGGAAGAAAAGAAACAAAGGCATTTTGTTCTTGTACATGGTGCGTGCCTTGGAGCTTGGTGCTGGTACAAGCTGCAAACGTTGCTGGAGGCGGCCGGCCACCGCGTCACGACATTTGATCTCTCAGCCTCCGGCATTGACCCGAAAAGCATAGACGAACTTCGCACATTTTCCGACTATACAATGCCGTTGTTCAAGGTAATGGAGTCGATTTCACAAGACGAAAAAGTAGTTCTAGTTGGACATAGCCTTGGTGGGATGAACCTGGCTTTTGCAATGGAGAAATACCCTCAAAAGATTTCTGTTGCTGTTTTTGTTACTGCTTATATGCCAGATACTGTACATAGGCCATCCTATGTTTTGGAACAGGTAAAAACATTTGCCTCCTTTACAATTGCTTATTATCCTAGACTGATTAGAAAATTTCATGTTTTAACCATCATAAAAAAGATTAACATGTGATTAGAGGTCACATTATATAGATGTTACTAACAATTAATAAGAGAATAGAGATATTTGAGAGATTAAGGCATAACTCAAGTTAAGTGTGAAACCTTAGCAAGTTGTAGACTTGGGTTCGGATGATACCTCTCTTCAGATGAACCTAAGTCTACAACTTGCTGAGTTTTAACCTCACAAATGATGTGAAGGGAAAAGATTGAATGAAAAAATTAGCTGAGTTTTAAACTGACAAATGGTAGATTATCGTATATCATTATGTAAATCTTTATGTACACGTAGCGAGACCCATTTACCATTGATGACGTGAATTATTTTTAAGCAATTTTATTTGAGAAGATAGATCGATTTTGTCTTGATGATACATTTTAAATTACTTTAATTAACTTGTTTTGGCAGACCCCCAAGGGAAATTCATTGGACACTCAATTCATACAGTTTGGTAGACCGGAAGATAAACTTACAGCAATGCTTTTTGGCCCCGAGTACCTATCCGAAATGTATCACCTCTGCACCCCTGAGGTAATATAATATCACAAAATAAAAAATTTTACGTTAACTAATTTTTTCTTTTTTTTTCCCAAACAATGTTTGTTTATTTCGATTTTTAAAACATTAGTTTTTATCCGACATGAAGTCAAATGATAGTGCATACTACTTTTTCAAGTTAATGTTTCCATTAATTTAGCAACTGAAAGTTTAATGACTAATCGAAGTAAAATACAGCTATAAATTGATTACTAACAAATGTTATAATCCATTATGGTAGGATGTTGCATTAGCAAAAACATTGGTGAGGCCGATGTCTGTTTTTATGGAAGATTTGTCAAAGAGACACCCATTTTCCAATGAAGGTTATGGATCTGTAAAACGTGCTTTCATCATATGTGCTCAGGATAAAGGAATGAATGAAGAATTCCAACGTTGGGAAATTGAAAATAGTGGTGCGGCAATAGTAAAAGAAATAAAAGATGCTGACCATATGGCAATGATCTCAAATCCCCATAAACTTTGCCAATTTTTACTGGAGATAGCAAATTAAATATATTTTAGGAATTGTTTTTCTTTACTTGTTGAGAAATAATGTAGTCTCTCTAAAACATATGTTTTCATTTTGTGTGAGGAAATATTCTCCTATAGAGAGAGTGATTTTTAGCAGCGAATTATGAAATTTAAAGATAATTGACTCAACAAATAACCTCACTAAGATTTATTCTTCGTTAGTGAAGGAATTTCGTATAGAAGATCCCTAAGCTGCACCTCTTTTCGATTTTAGCCAATGCTTACGAATTTGAATTTCACTATTTAGTGCGTAATGCACAACTTCTAAGAGTAAACACTCAACCCGGGATAAATATATTTTTACACGCTATATATCCAACCAGCATCAATATACCCTTCTAAGATAGTCAAAGATAAAATATCATGGGCCAAGGTTTTTGGTTTTATTAAGATAACCAAGAATTCTACCAATGGCTTTCTAATGCTTCTCAATTGAACAGCTAGTAAATTTACTAAGTTTACTAACTACAAATGCTATATCCAATCTTGTAACCGTACCACATACATTAGGGTATAAAGCCACTTGTTTAGGCTAAAAAAAAAAAGGAATAGTACAAACTGACTTTGTTGGTAGTGCATGTGTGGATGTATTTTTTTTTTTATTTTTCAAACTGTCCAATAATGTATGGACACGTGTCCTTTCTGTTTTTGAATCTGTCATTGAGTCTGTTCATGTAGCATGATTGTACATTAGGTTACCAATGACACTTGCACACTCAATTTGTATGCTCTTCCATCATTCTTAAAGTTTTGTACTTGGATCAAATTTCTTTTGCTTCTTTATTGTTCAAATGATTTCTCAATATAATCTAATTGACCCAACAAATAACCCCACTATTTATTGTTACTTTGATACCTAATATGATTATCAACTTGTTCAAGATCTTTCATATTAAATGTGAAAGATTGAAACCTCTCTTTATTTCTTCAAATCATTCCGTATGATTACGTATAATTTACATGTCATTAACATATAAGCAAACAAATACAATATGTTCATCTCAAACATTGAAATATATACATTTATCTACAATATTACGAACAAAATCAAAAGATATTATAGCTGTCAATTTTCTCGTGCATTTTGTTTTTGAGCTTGTTTTAAATCATATAGTGATTTTACCAATTCGTATACTTCATGTTCATACCGGGTAAAACAAACATTTTAAATTGTTCTATGTAAAGCTCCTCATCGAAATCCCCATTTAAGAAGACGGTTTTTACATTCATTCGATGAAGATGCAAATCATAAATAGCGAAATTTATAGCCCCTCCACTGTCTACTCTATGACTGCCACCACAGTGGTATTGCCTTTAATTCGGAATCGCCATTTGGGCCTTCACTTGGCATCGCAATTCCTGGTATTACATGGGTATCTCAAGAACACCATCATTCCTTGGCCTCGGTCACAGCATCCCATCAGGAATGATTGTTGATGTAGAAGAGTTAATAATCAAGAACACAACAACAAGATCGATATAATCGTCGATTTGACGTGAATACTGAAAATTGAATCAAACTTGGAGAGAAATTTCTCGTTATATTAAAAGCCCACTCCAATACTGTCTACGATAGTCGATAGATGATAAAGACCCAAACCTATTGCCTATTTAATTGAAATTGCACCTTGGTCCCTAAAATCCTAAGAAATAATATTATGTATACAAAATTGAAATTGCACCTTGGTCCCTTGAATTTCTTTTCTTTCCCTTCTCTCTCTTACTTGTCATCTATTGAACAAAAAAAAAAGAAAAAAAAAATACTTTATATGAATTTAACATCCCAACACGATATCAATGATTTCCAAATACCTGGATGAATACAATTTCAGATACGAAATTTAAGTTTTTTTTTTTTTTCAAATAAAAGCCATAAGCCTACAGGTGATTTGATGTACAAATAAAGCAAAACTTTTTTATGCCGAACCAAAANCATATATTTAAAAAAAAAAAAAAAATGCAAAAGAAAAAATACTTTATATTAATTTAACATCCCAACACGATATCAATGATTTCCAAATACCTGGATGAATACAATTTCAGGTACCAAATTGCAGTATTTTTTTTTCAAATAAAAGCCACAAGCCTACAGGTGATTGATGTACAAATAAAGCAAAACTTTTTTATGTCGAACCAAAAACGAAGCAATAGGTAACCAAACTGAATCATACTCTCTCCATTCATAATTCATTAAAACGAACAAAAGCTCTTCCCACCCTACAATGCATCCCATCAGATCCCGAGTACGAGGGATACAAATATTCCTCATCAGGGAAACATCCCACCAACTTGCATACTCATGGTGAAACTGGAATAGCATATAATGTGTTGGGTTCGTAACTATGAATCCATCATCTTAATGAGAAAAGCCATCTCCATTGCCGACTCCTTGCACTGCAAATATCTGTTCTCCTCGACTATATCAGTCGTCAAATTAAGCAGTACCGGACGTCTAGGATCATATATAGAATATTCCCGCACTCTTGCGACCCATTTTGCTGCTTCCCAGACTCCAAACCTGAACATATTGAAGCTGGGTCAGACAAATGTAAAACTATATGTTTGAAAATGCATGTTCAATAACTTTCTAAAAATGCGTGTGGAAATCACAACTCCGAGGTACCCAAAGTATAACGGTGACACATTTCAATGGTTATTGTCTCTAAACATTCCATATTTTTCTCATGTCTACAACACACAATACTGTCTTGAGGCAGGGCAGGAAATCAACATGATGGGTCGAAGTTACCTTGTATTAAAAGATGATGTTATCAGAACAGCAGGATACAGTGCGTCTTTCTGAATATTATCATAGGGAGAGTATTGACGTATAGCCTGAAAATCTTCTATGTCCCCAGGGTACCCAAACTCTTCATAGTCGGCAGGTGTTAGTGGTAAAATAGGAAGCACAAGTGTACTACTTGGATCCAAAAAGGGGACCTGAGCAAGAAACAGAAGGAAGTCAATTATGGGATTATGAGCAAATTACGCATCCTAAAAACAAAATCTTAACAGAAGATTTGTATTATCAAATTTCCAGCACTTTTACAACTAATATGAAACCAATACGGCAGAGCAAATTACTGCATCAACAGAGAAAAATGGTAAATCGAATGAAGAATTTGGCAGACCTGCAAAACAGCAGCACGAAACAAATCTGGACAAGAGTTAATGGCAGAAGCAACTAACAATCCTCCAGCACTATATCCCCATCCAGCCAGTTTGCTTTCTTGCGCAATCTCCTCCTCAACCAGAAACTTAGCACATGATACATAATCTCTAACAGAATTCAGTTTCTTCGTCCGTCTGCCATCGTGATGCCATTTTCTACCCCCACAACCTCCACCTCTGGATCTTAAAACCATCAAGAGAATCCTAGGTAAAAGCGCTTAGTAGTTCCCTAAATCACTTATATAGAAACATACCGAGTTATCTTTCCCACAACCTCCACCTCTGGATATTAAAACCATCAAGAGAATCATAGGTAAAAGCGCTTAGTAGTTCCCTAAATCACTTATATAGAAAAATACCGAGTTATCTTCGGGTAAGCATTATGCATAAATAGGAAAATGCTTTAACAAAGATATCCTTATAATATCAAGTAATTGTAACATAGAGAAGAAGTCTTCTTAAGAAAAAATTAATTCGTGACCATCCTTCCAACACATCACTATTCATCAAAACTACCTGCAATTGTTGCTCGAACCCCTCCTTTTCATCCTGCATTTCTTTCAATCCTTTTCCTAATTCCTCCTCACGCTTCCTCAACACCGTTTGAGCACTAAACAGTCCTTCCAATTATGCATCCCGTGTTAGCTGTGGCGATTTGTGGTGGTTTTGGATTTTTTTTCATATTTCTTCATTCTCAGATCTGTGACAAAGTATTGGTAGTGTACTGGCATTGTGGCATCGTCCGAGCGATAGAAACAGAACCATTGTCGTTCGCTTCTCGCCCAGGCGCCGCTCGAGCGACAAGTCCCCATATCTTGAGTGACATTGTTAGGGGACTAACCCTAGTTCGCGATTTTGGAGAGTTATACACGGCTATACTACTCATACACCTTCAACTATAAATACAGATGCTCTAGTACGAAAATTGTGGTTGTCCCATTGTGCCTCATTAGTATAACATATTCATATTATCTTTTGAGAGATCCAAGAACACAATTCATTGGTGGAATCATTCATATTATTCTTGAGATTCGGCAACCAAGTTTTGGGAAAACATCAAAGTTCGTGAATCCAAAACACCTGACTTCTTTAACACTTTGAGGAAGGTACTCTCTCGATCGGGTAATGGGAGAGGTGGACTGCAAGCACATGAAAAGCACAAGAATTGGGGATTCTTGAAATTTCACTTGGAAGAGACAATAGAAGAAGATCGGAAAGCTGGAAGGAAACAACAGATCTTGGAAGCTACAAGAAGTAGATCGGGAAGTCTAGTAGAGTTGGCTAGACAACATCTAAATGTAGAAGATCGGGAAGCTGGTGGGTACAACAGATCTTGGAGATTACAAAAATTACAATAGCGGGAACTAGTGGAATTTGCTAGGCTGGAAACGAACTGTAATTCATATTGTCTATAATGGAGGTAACTAGCTTGGTCTCAGAGTATTTGCCCAGATGGGGTTTCTCCGTCATCATTTTTGGTGTTCGTTATTTATTACTTTCTTTATTACTACGGTATTCAAACATAGGATAATTGGACATGTATGCTTATTCATCTAGAAACAATTAATAGTGACTTATTGCTTTTGATTGATTAATTCCGCACGTAGGGTCAAAATAAAAAAACGGATAATTAATAACCATTCGGTAACTTAGAAGCCGTTAATTTGGTAATCCGTAATTTTCAAGTGGTATCTAGAGCGACACTCGATTTTCAATTGGTATCAGAGCCCAAATTNTCAATTGGTATCAGAGCCTTATTTCGATTCCTGACCCTATTTGTCTAGATGGTTAGTTCATTGTCTGTCCCACCCTACTTTGATGGTAGCAATTATGTGTATTGGAAAGTTAGGATGAGAGATTTCCTAAAATCTATGGATGAACGGATTTGGTTGAGTGTAGTAAAATATTGGAGCGCCCCTAGTACTGCTGTAGTTAACGTAGTGACCCCCACTCCTATAGCTAATTGGACTAGGACAAACTTAGATAAGTGTAACTGGAATAGCAAAGCTTTACATGCCCTATTTATAGCAGCGTCCTCTGAAGAATTTAAGCGAATGTCGCGGTTAAGAACTCTAAGTTACAGATGTTGACAACTAGGTTTAAAGAGATTATGATGAAAGAGGACAAGACATTTGATGAATTCTATGCGAGCTTAAATGACATAGTTAATTCTAGTTTCAACCTAGGTGAGGAAATACATGAGTCAAAAATTGTTAGAAAAATCCTTAGATCCTTACCAGAGCGATTTAGACCTAAAATCACTGCAATTGAGGAGATTAAGGATATAAACTCTATTAAGGTGGAAGAGCTGGTTGGATCTCTCCAAACTTATAAGCTGACATTAGCTAAACCTACACACGATAAGTATTGGCCTTAAAAACTGTGAGGAATAGTCACAACAAGTCCTCGGATTCAGATTCTCCTAATGAAGAGGAATTAGCATACTTTGCTAAAAAATTTCGAAAAATGTTTAGGAATTAACAAAAACCTCAATAGAAGCATAGAAGTGCTCCAAGTGAGTTTAGGAAGAGTTCCAAATCTGTGAGATGTCATAATTGTCGAGGTTTTGGCCACGTTAGGAGAAAGTGCCCCAGCAGTAGGAAAAATTTGAATAAGGCTATGAATGCTACTCTCACTGATGACGAGTTTAGCTCGGACAATCAGAGTGGGAAATCAACTCGTGGGGAAAGTGGAAAATATATTGTCTTTACTACAAAAATTAAGAATGGATCTGATAAGTGGAGTGAGAAGGCTGAGAGCATAAGTAGTAGTGCGAATTCTGAAGAAGATTATGATAGAGAGGAAGATTCTGATACTAAGGGAGATATTCTTGAGGCTTATGATAGAATTTATGAAGAGTGTATTAAGATTCTAACTAAAAATAAAGTCTTGAGTACGAGAGTTACGGAACTTGAGTTGGAGAAAGAAAAACTCGTAGCGTACATTCGAGAATCTATCTCAACCTTAAGTAAGTTGAAACCCATGAATGAATCTTTAGATACTCATGTTAGGAATCTCACCAGTGAGCTTGAGAAAGACCTTTAGAAGAGCTAATGAACTGATAGTTGAAAAGGAAACCTTAGAAATTCAGGTTAAAAATCTTCTGAGCGATCTAGAGTGTTCCATGTCTTAACTTCTAGTGGTTCTAAGAAGCTAGATAACATTCTAGGAATGGGCAAGCCTGCTGGTAATAAGGGAGGTCTGGGATCAATAAAAATGATCATAATGTTGCTAGTACATCCAAGACCACATTTGTCCCTGATACTGACCAGCTTAATCATGTGCCTAACCTTGAACCTAAGAATAAGGGATATGTAGGACAGATGCCTACTAAACAGCGTATGACCCGCCAACCTAGAAATAGACGTCAGCGATCACATACATTTTGTCCTAAGTTTATCCCTACATGTTTTCATTGAGGTGAGTTTGGACACATAAGGCCTAGGTGTCATCATTACCTGAACAGAAATAGAAATCGAAACTTAAATAGAGATAAGAATCAGGAGTTTGTTGGTCACATTGACTTTCTTACTAATCAGGTGAGTCAATTGACCAAGTTAATGACATAGATGACTGGAAATATTCCTGTCATTGGGCAAGTTTAGGTGAAGAAGAGTGATCTGAAAATTTTGGAATAGATCGCGGTGCTCTTGAAGGTAAAAGCATTTGCATACCTAACTGATTATGTATTTTTGGTGCATGTTCGTGTTTTATCATTATGTGACATTGATTTATGCATATATCATATTTGTTTATTTATTTTTAAACCTCAAGAAAAGCATAGAAGTGATCCTCGTGGATCTAGGAAGAGTTTTAAAACTGTGAGATGTCATAATTGTAGATGTTTTGGCCACGTTAGGAGTGAGTGCCCTAGTAGTAGGAGAATCCAAATAAGACTATGAATGCTACTCTTACTGATGACGAGTCTAACTCGGACAATAAGAGTGAGAAATCAACTCGTGAGGAAAGTGATAATATATTATCTTTACTACTAGAATTAAGAATGGATCTGATAAGGGGAGTGAGAAAGCTTTCAACTCGTGAGGAAAGTGAAAAATATACTACCTTTACTATGAAATTAAGAATGGATATGATAAGGGGAGTGAAAAGATTGAGAGCATAAGTAGTAGTGAGAATTCAAAAGAAGATTCTGATAGTGAGGAAAATTCTGATAGCAGGGGAGATAGTCATGAGGCTTATGACAAAATATATGATGAGAACATTATGATTCTAACAAAAAATAAAAACTTAAGTACGAGATTTACGGAACTTGAGTAGGAAAATGAGAAACTCGTAGCATACTTTTAGGAATCAACCTCAACCCTGAGTGAGTTGAAATCCATGAATGAATTTTTAGATGTTTAGGTTAGGAATCTTACTAGTGAGCTTGAGAAGACCTATAGGGGAGCTAATGAGCTGACAGTTGAAAAGGAAATCTTAGAAATCCATGCTAAAAAATCTTTTGAGTGACCTAGAGTATTCCAAGTCTCAACTTTTTGCCTTTTCTAGTGCTTCTATAAAGCTAGATAGCATTCTAGGAATTGGCAAGCCTGCTAGTAATAAAGGAGGTTCAGGATATAATAAAAATGATCATAATGTTTCTAGTACGTCCAAGACCACATTTGTCCCTGCTACTGACCAGCTTAAACATGTACTCAACCTTGAAACTTAGAATAAAGGATATGTAGGACATAGGCCTACTAGACAGCGTAGGACACGCCAACCTAGGAATAGATATCAACGATCACTAGATTTATCCCTACTTATTTTCATTGCCGTGAGTTAGGACATACATGGCCCAGGTGTTGTCATTTCCTGAACAGAAATAGAATCAGAACTTAAATAGAAATAAGAATCAGGATTATGTTGGTCGATTGACTTCCTTACTAATCAGGTAAGTAAATTGACCAAATTAATGACATAGATGACCGAAAATATTCCTCTCACTAGGAAAGTTTGGATGCAGAAAAGTGATCTGAAATTTTTTGAAATAGATCAAGGCGCTCTTAAAGGTAAAAACATTTGCATACCTAACTTATTAGGTATTTTTGGTGCATGCTTGTGCTTTATCATTGGGTGACATTGATTTATGCATGCATCATATTTGTTTATTTGTTTTTTATGTAGAAAACTCATGCATATTTTTTATTTTTATTTTTTATGAGTTTGCAATTTTTTTGTGTGCTCGATGTAT